CTGTCCGCGTCGCCGCGGCCGGGCCGCGGTTCCAGCGTTGTCCCGCCGGGCGGCCTCTGGGTCCCCGTCCCTGGGCCGCCCCGTCCTCTTTGTCGCCCTCTACCCCGGAGTCTCTTGTGTCCCCCTGCACCGCCAAGGCCACCCCGTCCTCCTCCAGCCCCGGGTCCCCCACTGTCCCCTGCTCCCCCAGGGCCGCCCCGGCCCCCCACCCCTGCATTACTGGGGTGTCCTTCTGTCCCCTTCCACCCCCCTCCGTCCCCAGGGCCACCGAAGGGGGCGGGGGAGCACGCGAACTCCAGGTCTAATTGGGAGAAATCTGTTTATGTTGCAGAGGGCAGTCGCAAAGAACCCTCTCCAAGGTTAACAACTAGGTTTTCCCATGAATGTGTAAACAATTTAAATGAGGTGACATTCAGTGTGGGTTTTTTTCATATAAATTATCTTCTAAAATACACCATAATACTCATTTTCAAGTAAAATGCCAAGAACACAAAGAACGAGCATTTTTACATTCCAGATGGAAAACTGAATTGTAGCTACTATTATAGTTTTTATTTCAAAATACAGTTTAATGGACATAGTTTTCTAAAAAGTTTGAAAAGGATGGACTATGTAAAACAAATTTCAGAGGGTTTTGTGTGTTCAGTTTTAGAAGACTAGAGCTGACTAGAGTAGCTTGTCGTCTTTCTATTTTGTGTGGACTGTGAGGATGGTCCAAAATGAATTGATAGAAGTCACCGTTGGCCTATGTTTATCATATTTACCCCGTGACCCATGGGGACATGGCACCTCCAGTCTGAATGGAATGGCTTTGCTTTGAACCATACACAGGGTCAGCGCTACGCCCAGTGACTAGCCAATAGTGTTGGGGAAATAGTTGAACTGGGGATATGGTTTTCTCAGTAATTAGCTGCAAGCTGTGACCTTTGCCCGAGAATTACCAAAGAGGAAGCAGGAGTCTGCAGCAGGTCCCCAGCTGAAGACCAGGCACGCAGAACACACCTGGAGCGTCAGGCGAAGAGAGAGCAAGTTCCCTGGTCAAGGAAGCCAGGATGGCTCTGGTAGCGGCGCTCTGTGCATGGGATGTGGGTGTCACCGTGCGGGTGTCCAGCTGACCTTCGGGACAATTATTAATTGTTTTAATATTTTTTTAAGTCTACATTCCTACAGAATGTCAATTCATCCTCACCTCTCACGTGAGCTGCACGGTAGAAGACTGTATGGCTTATTTTTACAAAAGTGAATCTAATCTGACATCATGCAGATACAACACCGTCAAAAATGTGGTTTTCAGAAAAAAAAAAAGGTTTAAAAGCAGGATACGTATAGAAACTGAATTTCAAATAGAATAAATTCTATGACTTCCTGCTGCACCCATCATTAGCCATTCAACACATATTATTCACACCCTATGACTGGCCAGGTATTGGCACACGGAGATCCACAGGACGGGCAAAAGTCCCTGGGCGTGGAGGGGCAGGAGACTATAGACGTCTTTAAACAAAATCATTTCTGCTACCCACTGTGAAACCGTTTGGGGGGAAAATACCATTTTGTTTGTATGTGAAAGAGTATGTATGACATCGGAACCGTACCAGTTGCACCTGGTTTTTAAAAAGAGCAGCAGAGTCACCCAGAGGAGGGAACTATGGCCTGGTATAAAAAAGTGGACTTTAAACTCTGGTTATCTCTGCTACGTGTGTGGCCCTGGTCACGTTATTTAAACAGGAGATTAAAATGTCTATTAGAATTAGTCTGGTATAATTAGAAGACATAACGCGCTAAAATCCCGGGCGAGTGGCAAATAGTAGTCATTCAATAAAACGAAGGCAGTTGCGCTTATTTAACATTTATCCATTTCTAAGTTTGCTCTTGATACTTATTTTATAATCCCCCACCCCCTTTTATTGTGAACAGTAAATGAACGCAGATGTAAAATAAAATCAGCTTTGCAGACCACAAAGCCAATCAGAGGCAAAGTTGCTGCTCGCGTCTCTGCCACCATCTTCAGAGGATCAGGACCCTTGTGTGTGACTCCCCGGCTCCTTGCTACCCTCCTGGGGGGTCAGTCCTCAGCCTCCCTTGCACCCCCACCCCACGGCCACCTTCTTTCCTTCGCTCCTCATACTTCCAGGCTACGCTCATTTATCTCAGACCAGGAAGCTCTCTTTGCTGGTTTTAGGCAAAAAAAAAAAA